TCCGACCTGGTGCTGGGCACCGCAAATGGTTTGACGTCTGACGCAAACGATGACGCAACCTGACGCAGCACCAGTCGGATTCTGGGCAGTGTGAACAGAGCCGGAGCTAAACCGAAGAACCGGTTCTGAACCTGAAAAGCTCTAGCACGGAGCTTGAACCGGAGTTGCGTTGGTGTGAATGAGGTACTAGAGCACCATTGTGTTCTTTTTAATCAAATATCTCTCAGAGGGGCGTGGGGAGTGGCTCCTTTTTTTCATCTAAAGTAACAGACAGAGAATCAGCACTTTGGAAACAGGGCTGAAACAGAGGGGATTATGGGATGCTAGAATGATCTGTTTGGTGTTTGGAGCCAAACACTTCAGAGACATATTTTGTATATATCTGAGACCTATAATATATTGATGAAAAACAGTATCATAGGGGACCTTTAAATCCTGAAATGCTTTATTGTGTCATATCTCTTGCTACTGTAGAGTGCATCATCTAAAATCTGTAAAAAAAATGAATAGTATTTGGTGCGTTTGTTCGCAGGTGACGGTCATCGTTCTCGGGAATAAGACGGACCTTCGGGAGCGTCGCCAGGTGGAGCCGGAGGCGGCGCAGCAGTGGGCTCGAGGCGAGAAGGTGAAGCTGTGGGAGGTGAGCGTCACCGAGCGAAACTCCCTCATCGAACCGTTCACGCAGCTCACCAGCCGACTCACGCAGCCGCAGAGCAAATCCACCTTCCCTCTGCCCGGGCGCAAGAGCAAAGGAACGCCGTCCAACGACATCTGAGAGCCAAAAACCCTGAAACGAGTCAGCATCTTACTGCTTCCTGTCCTCTCTTTTTAATGGTTTTCTGAATGTGTTTTGGCCTGAAATAAGATCTGTGGTTAACACAAACTGAAGATATTTTGATTCTACTATATAAAATCAGTCAGTTAATACTCCTACGCCTCCTTGAGTTTAGCGGTGTTGACGTGAAGTCATGTGACCCTGCTGTAGTTCCTTTATAGCCCAACACTAGCTACCTTTAGCTTAGCGGTGGTGACCTGATCCTGCCGAACAAAACGTGTAAGAATCATAAAAGTTTGTTTGCCACAGAGATTATTTTCCGCAATAATCCAAGATCACATGGAGAAATCCCATTGGTTCAGGGAGATGCTGCCTTCAGGGTCAACCTAAAATAATATGACATCCCTACACCACTCTATAAGCAGCATAACACACATTAAGTCAGCTATATACTACATCATTGTAGGGGAAAACATTTTAAGAAGAATGCTAATCATCTTTCCTACTGCGAACCCAAGTCTGTATGATTGATATAAGAAGCTATCATAGTCAGTGTATTACCGCCACTAGATGCAATTTGTAGAAACAGACAGGAGTACCAGAAGGAAGCTAAGCTATGTATTGTTGTGGACATATTTTAGAAACATAAAAACACCATTATGTTTACGCTGTATTTAGAATATTAGCATCCCTTTACTTTGCTGGCAGTTGGCCCTTTTCGATGAAGAACTGTAGCCGATATCTCCTCTCTTCAAAGCCACCAGACTCCATTGGCAAAACTGTAATTGTACACAAATAGGTAGAAAGTGAATCCTGTATTCTCCTGTGTTTACACTAATCCAATGAGTATGCATGTTGTATGTCTTTGTTTACAGCAAACCAAACAGACAGAAGTGTCACCTGTAGCTTCGTCAGTGTTTTTCATTGAAGGTGGAAAACTATCTTTAGCACTTTAGTACCAAAGATTTGACACAACTCAAACACAGATCTTGTGGATTTACCTTTTATAATAACCACTTATGTTTACCATTTCAACTGAACTGTATAATATAGGTTGTGTCCACTCTATTCAAAGTTGAATGATAGTTTAAGTTGTTCTTTGACTTTTATCTTTGAGACAATTCCCGTATATTTTAAAGAGCCAGTGGTTGCTGAAATTATCTTTATTTATCCCAAGAGATCCCAATCTAGGAGCTCAGTGTGTAGGAATTTGGAAACTCAAAGGTAGCCTGTTCAAGTCCCATTTTCCTAAAGGTCGATACTCCACTTTATTAGTATAACTAAGCCTCTTATTACATTTGGTGATTGTATTTTAGCACCAATCAATCAATTTAGGCAATCCTAACACTAAACTGTGTGCTGTACATGTGACTCAAAAAGACGGATTCAAATCCTCCATTAACAAAAAAATACTGTCCGCTTAATGTATTTAATCCAGCGTGTAATTAGCCCTATTTCTTACATTAGATTGCACTAGTATGTACAGCAGAGGATTAGGGCCACACGTTTTTTTTTTAAAGATCTGACCAAAAGTAATTCTTTAAAAATGTTTTATCAGAAAACCTTTTTCTCACTTTTTTTACAGAGATAAGTCAAAATTCTAAGAAAAATGTCAAAATTCTGAGCAAAGTCAAAATCTGATTTAAAAAAAAGGAGAACATTAAAAAAAGTAAAAATTCTGAAAAAAAGTCAAAAAATATTTGAAAGTCAAAATTCAGAGTTACGTCAAACACTGAGAAAATAAATTGCCCTAATCCTCTTCCGTAAGTATGCAATCTTTTTATAGCCAGTGTAGATAATTACAGCTACCTGTCAATCTTTCAACACAAACATCATCTCGTCGTATTCAGAAAAGCACTTCAGAAGTATGTCCTTAAATCTGTGGCACCAAACTCACAAAAGCTGCACTCCACCTGTCTTTTTTTCAGACAGATTACTCATCTGTGATGATATTTCCCACGTGATGTGAATGCAGCATTCGTCCAGTCCATCTCATATGAATATATATGTGTATATATTAAGGCCTGGCAGCAATAATACTCATGGTGCTGCGTTTACTTGTGATGTAGTTGCACTCCTGTGTTTTCCAGCCTGTTTAATCCAATAGGGCTAACAGTAGAAAATATTTATTTTTAAACTAATTTATTTTTGTCACTTTAATGAACCACATTCCTCGACTTGTTTTGAAAAAATGATGAATCAATGTGAAGGATGATCTGCGCTGTTTCTCTTTGTGTTTCCTTAAAGTAATAATGAATGTGCTGCTAGTAGAACAGAGGTCGTGCATTATTCTAATAAGATGCACTGAATAAAATGTAGCCTCGTATTAAACCCTGTGTGTGTATTTTTACAAACTACAGATGATGAAACAAAGTCAGTCGGCCATTTTTTATTCTTAAAATTCTGCTTTTTGCCTCAGAATTTAGACTTTGATCTTGAAATTATGACTTTTCTCTGAATTTTGAGATTAAAATCAGAATTTCAAGAAAATAATAATTTGATGTCCTGGGCCCAGTAGTTCAAAACTTGTAATTCAATTCAAGTTTATTTATATAGCCCAAAATCACAAATCCTATTTGTCTCAGAGGGCTTCACAAGTCAACAAACACAATTGGCAATGTGAAACAATGTTAAAACAACAAACGTATCTTACAAGATCAATGTGAAAATACCAATTTAAAAAGGAACATAACACGACACAAATACAGTTAGAGTACAATAAATACAATTCCATAAAACGAAGTGTCCATGAGGATGTATAAAAGGGGGTTTAAAACCAGTCTTAACTGTATGCTGTACTAAAAAGGAAAGTCTTTAACCTACTCTTAAATGTGTGGACATTGTCTGCCTCCCTAATCGTCACTGGAAGTTGATTCCAGAGGAACGGGGCTTGGTAGCCGAAAGCTCTAGAACCTGACCTTTTTTTGTGGACTCTGGGAACCACCAACAGACCTGCACTCTGGGATCTTAATGCCCTAGAGGGGCAATAGGAGATTAAAAGATCCTGTAGATAGGATGGTCCCTGACCATTTAGCGCAGTAATCCCTATCTGATGGGATCAGATTTGGATTTTGGGTAGTTCAAAACCAAAAAACAGGATTAGGATCACTTTGATATCCGATCAGATCAGGAAATCAAATCCAAGCTTTAATCTGGATCAAATCTTCAAACCGACAACACAGGATTGGGATCAGTTTGATCCCAAAACATTGGATTATCTTGATCCCACCAGAGGGGTGGATTTCCAGAGCAAAATGTACTGTACAATTTATTTTAAAATATGTTTCAATATAAATAAGATGGCAAAGTTTGTTAACTGAAATAATACACAATTTTTAGTCTTCATGGGAAATACATTTTATTTTTCATTTTTGGGTCACGTTTGTGGTGGCCTATTTTGTTTTCAACCAAATGTTGATGACATAAATGTTTATGCTCATAAAAGTATCACAACAAAGATTGTCAATAACAAATGTAATTTAGTAAAAACATCTTCAACAAAAAAAAAGTCCACATCTGTCATCACCTTTCAAATAAAAAAATATAATTAGACATTACAGATGTCTCTGCAATGTGGTCTCTTGTCTTCCTTGTATTATTTTTCATATCCACTAGATGGCAATCGGTAGGATTAAAGCACTGATATTCAGGATCTAGTCATCTTGAAAAGTCTGAATCTGGATCAGGGTGATCCTATCCTGAATTCTTTTGAAATACTGGGACAAAATCTGGCCGAGTTGTCTGATCCTGGATCACAAAAAATGGGATTTCAAAATCTGATCGGATCTGATTGAGATGAAAAGTTTTGAACTACTGGGCCCCAGGGGCGGATCTAGAAAAATATTCATGGGGTGGCAAGAGGGTGGCAGGAGAATTTCAGGGGTGACATCCCCTGGCAGAA